GCCGGCGAGGGGCCGGGGGACACCGCTAGGGCAGGAGCGCGCCGCCCGCGCGAGCGACCCGGGGAGCGCCCGCCGCTGCGCTGCGCTCCGGCTCGGCGCGCGAGTGGCTGCTGCTCCCATTTTTTTTAAGATAGAGTCTCACTTTGTTGCCCAGGCTAGAGTGCTGTGGCGTCAGCCTAGATCACAGCAACCTCAAACTCCTGGGCTCAAGCAATCCTGCTGTCTCAGCCTTCTGAGTGGCTGGGACTACAGGCATGTGCCACCATGCCCGGCTAATTTCTTCTATATATGTTTTTAGTTGGGCAATTAATTTCTTTCTATTTATAGTAGAGACGGGGTCTCGCTCTTGCTCAGGCTGGTTTCGAACTCCTGACCTTGAGCAATCCGCTCGCCTTGGCCTCCCAGAGTGCTAGGATTACAGGCGTGAGCCACAGCACCCGGCCATAACTAATATTTTCTGAGTTAAGCATTTTTTTTTTTTCAGTTTATAGGTAAGGGAACTGAGGCATGGAGACATAAGGTGACCTTCCCAAGACCACACCCTTTTTTTTTTTTTTTGAGACAGTTATGTTGCCTGGGCTGGAGTGCAGTAGTGTTCTCATAGCTCACTGCAACCTAAAATTCCTGGGCTCAAGCGATCCTCCTGCCTCAGCCTCCAGAGTAGCTGGGACTACAAGTGTGAGCCACCACGCCTGGCTAATTTTTAAATTTTTTTGTGGAAATGGGGTCTTGCTATGTTGCTCAGGCTGGTCTTGAACTCCTGGCCTCAAGAGATCCTCCTGCCTCAGCCTCCCAACCAAGACCACACTTCCACCTAGAGACAGCTGGGACCAGAACCCAAGCAGTGTTATGATTTTGGGAGCCCATTATTAACCATTATACTGTCCCAGAAAGGAGAGGAAGAGAGAGATGGAGAAATGTATCGAGGACAGGGTAAACAGAGTCAAGACCTACTCACCAATGCCCAGTGGACAAAAGGCCCCTGAAGTTGGAAGAGCCACAGAATGAAATGGTCTTTTCTGGGCCACTTAAGCTCACTGGGTGGTGGGATATTTGGGAGCCTCTGTTGTCAGGTACCAGCTACGCACCTCACATTTTAGCACCCTGCATTATAATCAGAAGTAGAAAATAAAGTTTGGACCTGAAGCCAAGAGTCAGTCTGGCATGAGAGGGCTGAATATTTCTGAGTTAGTTGAAAACGTGTGATCTGGGAGATTTCATATAAAAACCTACATTTCCTGCTTCTCTTCAAGATTGGAAGCTCATGCAAGCCCAGGCCTGTAACTCTGCCTATCAACCGGTCAAGAGGTTGGTGTCTGGCCCCGAGGGACCAAGAATATCCCCAACTCCCATTTCCTGCCTTGACACTGAAGACAAGTGTCACTTGTTATCTTAGACTGACCTTCCTACACACGTCACATTTGCAGCCCCTGCTCCAGAGGCATGACAAGTGTAATTGGAGGGGACAGTCCAGGCTCCTTCTGTCATGATCAGTAGGATTCTTAGGAAGAGTCTCTCTCCCTCCCAACAATTTAGTTTTCTCAATTGTAAAATGAGGATATCACCTCTCTGGCAAGTTTTCTGTGAAAACTGAATGTGATGATAAAATAACTTGCCTTGAACAAGACATTGAACTAGCGCCCCTTTAATGGCCCTCATCACTTATAACAGTGAAAACACTAGAAATAATCTGTGTCGGATAGGAGGGTAGTTGATAAATCATGAAGTATTCTGTAGCTCCTAAACAATAAAGTGGGCTGGCTCAAGCCTGTAATCCCAGCACTTTGGGAGGCTGAGGTGGGAGAATCCCTTGAGGCCAGTAGTTTGAAACCAGCCTAGATAATACAGTGAGATCCCGTCTCCATAAACAATTTAAAAATTAGCTGGGTGTGGTAGAGTGTGCCTGTAGCCCCAGCTACTCCGGAGGCTGTGACAGGAGGAATGCTTGAGCTCAGAAGTCTAACCTGGGCAACATATTAAGATCTCTCTCTTTAAAAGCAAAAAAGCAACTCTCCTACTTATTAGCGGGGGGGGAATTGCAGCTTCTCTTGAGCCTCAGTCTCTTTACCTTCCTATGCTACCTGCTGCTGGGAGAACAAGTACAGTGGCTATGATTAATAAATGCTGGTTAGTGCTACAGCTCTTTCAGAATTTGTCTAGCAGGTTTTCTGGTCCTCACTAGAAGACCTCCACCCCCAAAATGTTGGTTATTTTCCTCAAAAGCAAAGCAAGATCAGTCCCGATGACTGTCTGCAATGACGGAAATGGTCTGTTTCAAGCACTGTCCAAGATGACAGTTAGTAGTTACACACAGCTTTTGAATACTGGAAATGTGGCTGTAAAAGTGAGGTACTAAATTTAAATTTTAATTATTTAAATTACAAAAGCTACAGTGGCTAGGAGGTAGGTAACTGTATTGGACAATACAGGCCTAAGGAGCCTGCCAGATTCAGATACTAAAGTAGGCTCCCAATCAGGAGTGAGAGAGCTGGAAGGGACAAGGGGCTGCAGAAATCTGTCCAGACTGGGAGCAGGCGGCTCAGAAGGGTGAGGAATGGCAGGGGCATTACACAGTACAAGGACAGTGCTGCCACAAGTTTTCAAGTAGGAGGTAAAAAAGGAGAAAATGCCTCAGGAGGTAGACTAAGTGAAAGTCAGACATAGACGGCCACATATTGTATGACTGCATTCATATGAAACGTCCAGAAAACACAAAGCCACAGAGACATAAAGTAGATTAGTGGTGGCCAGGGCCTGGGAAAAGCGGTGAGGGAGGGGACAGGGAGTGACTGCTAATGAGTATAGGGTTTCTCTTTGGGGTGAAGATGTTCTAAAAATTAGGTTGTGGTGATGGTTGCACAGCTCTAAAAACCAATGAATGGTATGCTTTAAGTGGTTGAATTGTATAGTATATAAATTATATCTCAATAAAGCTGTTTAAAAAAACCCTCAAACCTCAAGAGGCCTGTTTACTGGGATCCCCCAGAGAGGGGATGAGGCAGCTGAAGACTTGGCTGCCCTTCCAGTTGAGTGTACTCCATTTCCCACCTTGAGACCGACTGATTTTAAAAAAAACAAGAGCTTTCCCTATAGCTGGAGCTTTCATCAGTAGAGAAAGTCAATGCATGCAAAAGAAATTAAACACCAGATGGTGGGGACTGGAAAGGACTCCTAAGAGGGGAGGAAAAAGCTTGAAAACGGCAGAAGGTGCAAGTAAAAGCCATCTCCATCGGATCCCTCCTGAAGGGAAATGTTATCAGACATTAGTTTGACATTCCCAGAGGTGAAAGGACAACCTGGTCTCTAATTTCCTTCCCAGTGGCTTGTCCTCATCAGGGACTGAGCTGCTCAGATAAGCAGAGTACCAAGAGTTAGGGAAGCTGTGTGCTGACCCAGAAAGTCAGCGCTAAGAAAATCGGTTTTCAAAAGTAGAGAAAGTTGCTGGGCATGGTGGCTCATGCCTATAATCCTAGCACTCTGGGAGGCAGAGGCGGGAGGACCGCTCAAGATCAGGAGTTCGAAACCAGCCTGAGCAAGAGCAGGACCTCATCTCTACTAAAAATAGAAAGAAATTAATTGGCCACCTAAAAATATACAGAAAAAAAAATTAGCCAGGCATGGTGGCACATGCCTGTAGTCCCAGCTACTTGGGAGGCTGAGGCAGAAGGATTGCTTGAGCCCAGGAGTTTGAAGTTGCTGTGAGCTAGGCTGATGCCACAGCACTCTAGCACAGGCAACAACAATGAAAAAAAAAAAGGGAAGAAAGTGTTTTAAGACACACTTGCTTTATGATTATAAACATGCAAAAGCCTAAATTGTAAAAAAAAAAAAAAAAAAAAGTTAAAAGCATTCCCTTTTGGGGTCTTTACCCCCCGCCCTGGGCTGCTTGTTAAATTTGGGGGTCTTTAGAAAGATAGGGTCTTGCTGTCACTCAGGCTGCAGTGCAGTGGCATAACCATAGCTCGCAGCCTTGACCTCCTGGGCTCAAGTGATACTCCTGTCTCAGTCTCCTGAATAGCTGGGACTACAGGCATGTGCTATATATACCATGCTTGATTTATTTTTTGTAGAATCTCACTATGTTGCCTAGGCTGGTCTCAAACTCCTGGGTTCAAGAAATCCTCCCTGCCTTGGCCTCCCAAAGGAGGCCGTGGGTCAATATTAAAGTAAGAGAAGCAACAGCCTTTAATATGATTTTTTTTTTTTGAGGCAGTCTTGCTCTGTTGCTGGGGCTAGAGTGCTGTGGTGTCAGCCTAGCTCACAGCAACCTCAAACTCCCCTGCTCAAGCAATCCTCCTGGCTCAGCCTCCCAAGTAGCTGGGACTACAGGTGCAGACCACCACACACGGCTAATGTTTTTTATATTTTTAGCTGTGCAGCTAAATTTTTTCTATTCCTGTAGAGACGGGGTCTCGGTCTTGCTGAGGCTGGTCTCGAACTCCTGACCTCAAATGATCCGCCTGCCTTGGCCATCCAGAGTCCTAGGAATACAGATATGAGCCCCATGCCCTACCAAGCATGATGTTAAATTGAAAGATTCTCAAGTTGTATTTAACATTCTATTTTTATATGAAGTTCACTCTCAGGAACACAGAAGTACTAAGGCAAAGACTTAAGACATCTACCACCCTGGCTCTTGAGTCACAGAAATCAAGTCTGTGCTAGTCAGGAGAGCTGTAGGTTTAACCACCTGTAATTTGCAGGAAGAGAGTCCATGGAGTAAGGCCCCGACTCTCCACTGCACCAATTTCCAAGTATGAAACGCAAAACTTACCGAGAAGGCACTCAATGGACATTTTATATATTAATGGGTATGTAATTTAGTGTGCATTTTAAAACATAATTAAGATAGGAAACATGATTTCACAAGTATGAGGTCAAGTTGAAAAAAGTGCATTTCAAGTTCACTTAAACATTAGGTGGTGACTGTTGCACAAACATTGTGATTGTACTTGATATCACTAAATTATACACTTAAAAATGA